AGATTTCTTAACAATGAGCACACCCAACGTTACTAATCATTAAAGAAATGCAAATCAAAACTCCAACGAGATACCACCTCATATCTATTAAGATGGCTACTATCAAAAACAAAAAGAAAACCTAAAAAACAACAAAAACAAACAACAACAAAAAAAACCAAAATAACAAGCATTGAGAGGATGTGAAGAAACTAGAACCCTCGTTGGTAGGAATACCATGGTGACTTCTCAAAAAATTAAACATAGAATTACCATATGATCCAGCAATTCCCCTTCTGGGCATGTACCCAAAAGAATTAAAATCAGGGTCTTAAAGAGATATTTGTACACCCATGTTCATAGCAGCATTACTCACAAGAGCTAAAATGTGGAAGCAACCGAGGGTCCATCCACGGATGAATGGACAACCAAAATGTGGTGTATCCATACAACGTACAACAGAATATTATTCAGCCTTAAAAAGGAAGAAAATTCTGTAATATGCTACAACATGGATGAACCTTGAGGATATTATGCTAAGTGAAATAAAATAAACCAGTCATAAAAAGACAAACACTGTATAATTCCACGTATGTGAGGTACTTAGCGTAGTCAAAATCGGATAGACAGAAAGTAGAATGGTGTTTGCCAGGGGCTGGAGGGAGGAGAGATGGGGGGTTACCGTATAATGGGTACAGACGTTCAGTTTTATAAGATGAAAAGGATTACAGAGATGGATGGTGGCGTCAGCCGCACAACATTATGAATGTATTTAATACCTCTGACCACAAACTTAAAAATGGCTAAGATGGTAAAGTTTATGCTATGTGGATTTTATTACAGTAAGAAAAATTGAAAAAAAAAAAATCGTCTTAACCATGAGCACACCCAGCACCCAGACCTCGCCTTCTACGTACTATTCTCTAGTAAAGGGAAACAGGGCTCCTTGGAGAAATGGCTGATTCTGGGGCTGGAGCAGAAAAAAATTCAAGATGGTCCTAGAAGATCTTATAGTACCAGAAAGTCAGGCAGTGCTCACAGAACAAAACAATGGAGGCGTGACAAAGGGACACAGGAACCAACTGGAAAAGGCGCCCTATACCCAAAGCTGGAATGATGTCACACCATAAATAGTACAAGGAAATCAGTACTGGATTATAATCCAAAGTATAAAATAACTCTCCACGAGTATGTATTGATACAAACAAATGACAGAATAAATAAGGGTAAAGGGACATACTTTTTCTCTAGAAGAATTACAAATAATATATGTAAACACGCCCCTTCCAAAAGGTGGGGCTTTATCCCTGATTCTCTTGAGGGTGGGCTGGACTTGAAGACTCATTTCTAAAGAATAAGGTAATGAAAGGAAAAGCAGTGATTTCACAGTGGAGACGCCTGGCAGACACCACCTTAAACGAGGGATCGGGTTAACATCGCCAGGGACGGGGCCGTGGTGGGGCTATCATGAACGTCCTAACAGGAAGGGATGAGAAGGGCACTTTGCCTCTGGTGTTCCGCCAAAACCTGTAACCCCAGACCAATCAGGAGAAAAACTTCAGACAAACCCAAATTCAGCGACATCTGACAAATGCCTACAAATACGAGTACTTTTCAAAACTGTCAAGGTCACGAAAAAAAAAAAAAACAAGGAAAGACTGCAAAACGGTCATAGACAGAGGAGGTGAAGAACTAAATTCAATGTGGCACCCTGGATTGGGTCTTGGAACAGAAAGAGGATAAACAGTGAAAAAACAAACTCTGGAGTTTAGCTCATAGTAATGCACTAATGTTCATTTCTTAGTTTTGATGAATGCGCCATAACAAATGGTTACGTAAGGTATTAACATCAGGGGAAGGCGGGTGAAGGGTACATGGGAACTCTGCGTTGTCTCTGCAGCTTTTCTATAACTCTAAAACCATTGCCAAATGAAGAATCTATTTAAAACAGCATTTCCTCCTGATTAATAAAGGAACACATGTTCCTTGTAGATAATTCATAATATAAACAAATAAGAAACCAGCCGTTGCTCACCATTGACTCTGTTAGCATTGCAGTGGATTTCAATGCAATCTTTTTTTTCCTGTGCACTTTGAACCTCACAGGCATATTCCTTCGGCATTCAAGCATTTGGTGAGCATCATTTTTGTAGCTACATAGCACTCCATGACTTGGTTGCTCTGTGCTTAGCATCTCTCTCTGCTGCTGACTTAACTTTCAGAGGCTTCCTATGATGAATAACTCTTTAACACATACATCTAGGTCTGTAGTTGAGATAGTTTTCTAATGACACAGTCTTAAGAATGACATTCATATGTAGAAGAGTGTGGACATTTTTAAGGCTCCTGACGCATATTGCCAATTTGCTTTCCGAAAGCAGACGCCCGTGGGTACGCGGGTCAATGGTCTATTTGGGACGACTGCTTGCAAAGGGTGTTCTTTATTCTTCATCTGACCGTCCCCACCCTTGCAACCCTGCCTGTGATCCCCTTGACATCGCTTCTCCCAGGCTGTGCTCTCTCGGTGGCCCCCTTGGTCTTCTGTCCGCCAGCGAGCCTCTCTTTCACACTTCGGCTCCCCCCTGCACCAGCCTACCTGTTCCTGAGGTCTGGCTCTCTCCCGTCACCCCGGGCACGGCCTCTCTTGAGCTCTAAGGCCACATTTCCACTTGCCTTTCAGATATTTACACTGGGAACATCCCTTGTGCACCGATTCAAACTCCACACGTGAAAGGGAAAGGGAAATTGTCGCGAGGTCTCTGCCTCGTCTGCTGCCCCCTCACTCCCCTCCTCAGAGGCGCAGCATCCCGAGCACCAGCCGCCCAAGCCTGGCGCCTTGGCCCCATCTGGTCTTCCACTTGTCCCTTATGACCCATGCTCCAAGGATTCTGGCTTCCCCCTTGGGAATATTCCTCATGCACCTGTCCTAGTCCAGCTCCTCTGGGTCTTGTGCCTGAAATTCTAACAGTTGGTCTCCCCACCTCCCTCCAATTTCCTTCTCCTTACGGAGGGATTCTTCTCTAAAACACTGATCTGGTCATGTTCACATCCCCGCTTAAGGGATCCTGTGGGCTCCCTACAACCCGCGGGCCTTAAAGAGCACTGAAACTTGTTCGTAGAAAAATGGACTTTTCCATCCTCTTTCGAGGACACTTACCCCAAGGAGTCTCCACTGGATGCTAAGTGGGCTTTAACTCTTCTTGAAGACTTGCTGATCTCCCTTTTGAACAAAAGAAGAGAAAGTTTCACACCATGTTACCTTGGGCAGACCATATTCCCTAACCAAACATCATTAGCAATATTTTGTTTTGTTCAACATTGGGCAAAGCAGGTTTCTTGTTTGCAGTCATGCTATAAATTGCCCCTAAAATAAATTGAAAAAATTTTTAAGTGCAATAATCTAAAAGATTGAGTAAATAACAGTAAAGGTGGTATTTGGTTATGGCAAATTTGGGGAGGTGTCATTTTCTGCTCAAAGTGTGGCCCCTGGGTTGTCACCATCATCTGAGAGCTTGTTAGAAATTCACAGTCTCCGGCTCCCCCTCAGATCTACTGACTCAGAATCTGCATTTTAACGAGGTCTCCAGGTGATCTGAGCATGCATATTAAACTTGGGGAAGCCCTGATGTGAATAATGAAGTTTGGGAAACACTGACCTCAGGAAAAAGTTCATAACTATTTGTCATTCATGATCTGGCCTCGCGACCCTTCTAGGTGATTCACACGCCTCTCCAAGAGCTTCTCCATCCAGGACTACAGTTCCCTGCCTTTACCCATGCGGTTCCTCTCACCGGAAACGCCATCCTCTTCTGCCTCAGCCTCCTCACTGTTCACGACTCGGCTCCAATAGGACTTCTTTTCCTTATGTTTAATGGAGGTGAATTTCAAATAACACAATATTAACCACTTAAAGTGAACGATTCTATGGTATTTAGCACATTCATGATGCTGTGCAACCTCCTCTATCTAGTCCCCAAACATCTCACCACTTCAAAATAAAACCTTGTACCCACTAGCAGTGACTTCCCGATCCTCTCTTCCTGGCACCCCTCAATCTGCTATTTCTGTGGATTTACTTATTCTGGACATTGCATATAAACGGAATCCTATAGTATCTGGCCTTTCGTGCCTGGCTTCTTTTGCTTAGTGTGATGTCTTCAAGGTTCATCTGTGTTGTAGCAATTATCAGAGCTTTGCTCCTTTTTTATGGCTGAGTAATATTCCATTGCACGACTAGACCACATCTTGTTTTCCCATTCACCACTGACAGACACTTAGTTTGCTTCCACCTTTTGACTATTGTGCTTAGTGCTGCTATGAACACATTCATGTGCAAACTTTTGTTTGAGTGTCTATTTTCAATGCTCTTGGTTATACACCTAGGAGAATTGCTGGGTTGTGCAGTAATTCTGTGTTTAACTTCTTGAAGCAATGTCCCGTCTTCACAGAGCTTTCTTTTAACCCTTACCTGCCTCCTCTTGCCCCACCCACAGAATTGATTTTGCCTCCTTCGTCTCCCATCGCAGTTTCTAAAACACCCCAACGAACAAAGCTGGGTTTCAAACCCAGGACTTCTGACTCCAAATCCTACTTTTTTCCACTGCCCCACACCACTGAGTCACCTCTTCTTCAGACTGACCTTATTGTACAGATGAGGATGCTCGGGTTGGGAGCTTGTTCAAGGCCACACAGCTCCTAAGTGACAGGTGGGCTCTGGACTCTTAGCTCCAGTGTCCAATTTCCAGACACTACAGTCTGTACTGGGATCCTAAATGGACAAACAGGTTTTTAAAGGTGCGGCTTCTTCCATTCCTGGGACTGCCGACAGCCTCGCAATGCTCTGTCCCCAAGGGGTCACAGTCTGCCTTCTCCCGGCATCTGCTACGAGGCCGGTTCTGCAGCGAGCAACGAGCACCAGGACCTTTGGTTTAGGTACATTTATTTTGGCTCTCTATATATGTATTTTTCCATGATAGGAGGAAAGGGAGAAAACAACACTTTCTTTTATTTTGTTTCTCTTTTCAAATTGCACTACATAAGGAACCGGCACGGAGCAGGGCACCGAGGGCCAGCGGCAGCAGCTCAAGTGTAGCCCACCAGGCGTGGGGTGCTGGGGAAAGTCTTGCGCATGCCCATGCACTTCTCCTTGTCAATGCAGAGGGTGTTGGCCTTGATGGCCAGCTCGTGCTCCAGCCGGCACTTGGTCATTACCAGCAGCTGCAGTGTGTCCTGCGTCTCCCGCAGCCTCAGCTTGAGGGTCTGCAGCGTATCATCGATGGTGAACACCTCGTTTACAAGCCTGGGATGAGAGCAGAGGAGAAGGCACAGTTCATTCAGCCGTTCAACACAGATGCATTTACTAGGTGCCAGGAACTGTGCCAGGCGCTGGGAGACAGTGGTGAGCCAGACAGGCAAGGCTCAGCCATCAGGGAAGACAGAGGTGGAACAGGCAGACAAGTAAATGCACAACAGAGGTACCGAGGGTGATAAGCACAGAGGGAGAAACAGACAGGATGTTTGGGAATATAATCTAGCTGCTCCTCAGTAAATTAAACACAGACTTACCATAGGACCCAGCAATTCCACTCCTGGGTATCCACCCATGAGAATTAAAAACAGACACGCAAATACTTGAACAAATACTTGTGCAGCACTAATCACACGGGTCAAAGGTGGAAACGACCCAAACATCCATCAATGGACGAATGGACAAAAGGTGGTCCACCCACGCTATGGGATATTACCCTGGCACAAAAAGGAATGTGAAAACGTGGATAGACCTTGAAGATACTATTCTTGGTGAAAGAAACCAGTCATAAAAGGTAATACGTTGTATGATTCCATTTACACGAAATGTCCAGAACAGGCACATCCACAGACGCAGAAAGTAAACTGGCGGTTACCAAGGATGGAACGGAGGGGAGAATGAGGAGAGACTGCGCATGGGCACGCGGTTTTCTTTTGGGTGAAATGAATGAAAATGTTCTAGAACTAGCCAGCGGGGGTAGTTGTAAACATTGTGAATGTACTAAATGTCCCTAATGGTAAATTTTATGTGATGCGTATTTTATTACAATTTTAAAAACCAGAGAACGGGGCCAGCCTCATGTGGATCAGATGGTCAGGTGCAGTGTCCACTGCTCAAGTGCCCCTTACTGGCTGAGGCACCTGTCCCCAGCTGCTATAAGTGTTGGCTACTGATGGCTCATAGGTCCACACCTGTCCAGGGAAGGCGATGGCTCACTGACATGAAGGCACAAAAGGCTGTCCCCTGCCTCAAGGTGGGACCAGCTCTGTGGAGCACAGTTCATGCTCCAGAGCCCCTGTGGGACCAGGCCGAAGCTGGGCCTCCTGCCCAAACTCTCCACTGTCCCTCTCCCGAAGCTCTGCTTCTGTGGAACCTTTTAAAGCCACTAGGGACAATCTTCCTGAGGAGGGAGGTTGGGAGCTGAGAAAGGACAAGAACAAGCCAGCCACGGGAACACCAAGAGGGAGGCATTCTGTGGCAGTGCCGCCCAACAGAGCTCTGTGCAATGCCGACACATCCTGTGCCTGCACCGCCCAACACGGTTGCCACCAGCCACACGGGCTTTGGGAGCCCCTGTGACGCGGCAAGTTCAACTGAGGGACTGAATTTTTCATTGTATTTCAGCTTAAATAGTTTCAACGCAAATGGAAGAGCCACATGCAGCTGGTGGCTACGGAACTGGACAGTGCATTCTAGAGAGAAAAGCACGTGCAAAACCAAAGGGCTTGTGTTCCCAGTGCTTTGGGAAGCCATTGCGGGAGGGCGTGAAATGGGGAATAACAAACTAATCTGGATTTAGGAATAACCTCCAGGCTGCTGTGTAAAGATAGAATGAAAGGGGGCAAGAGCGGAGGCAGGGAAGACACTAGGGGTTATTTTGCTGTCCAGAGTGATTAGTGTCCCCCAAAAGGTAAGTCCAAGTCCAACCTCCCGGGCCTGTGAACGTGCTGCTATTTGGATATAGCAGAGGTCATTAAGTTAAGGATCTCGAGATGAGGTCATTCCAGATTTAGGAAGGCCAAGGAGTGCCCTCCACCTCCAGAAGCCAGAGGGAAGTATGGAGCACACCCTCCCTCAGAGCCTCCGAAGGAACTGACCCGCTGATGCCTAGATTTCAGACGTCTGGCCTCGGAAAGTGTGAGAGAATGAATGAGAATGAACATCTGCTGTTTTAAGCCACCCGGCTCGTGGTCATGTGCTGCAGCAGCCCCGGGAAAGGACTACACCAGGTGAGCTGTGACGGTGACCTGGTTGTGGGCTGTGCTGTGGGTCCCACCCCTGGGGGGAGGGACAGTGAGACTATGCTCAGGACTGAGGACATGCTGCTGGAAGGACTGGAGGTGATGTCAGGGTGAGCTTCCCCGTGGCAACCCTGCGCTAGAGAGGGGTGACAGAAGCAGCCTGGACGGCCTTCTCTCCTTGGGGATCGCTAGGCCAGCGCCGTCCAACAGAACTTTCTACAGTGATGCTGAAGTTCTGGGCTGTGCTGTCCAATCCAGCAGCCCGTAGCCACACTGACTGCTGACCACATGAAATGTGCTTTGTGCAAATGAGGAACTGAATTTTAAATTTCATTTCATTTTAATTTGAATTTCTATTCAAACAGGCGTTCATTCTGGGGAATGGGCAGGGATGGGAACGGAGTGATTAGAGAGCGTCAGGAGAAGAGGGGCCGCCTGTAAGAGGAAGAGGTGGTGGGAATGGGGGGCAAGGAAGGCCCTGCACAGACGAGGCAATTCAGCTGCTGGGGAAGGCAGACAGCGCGAGTCCAATGACCTGCTCGGTTCTGAATATGCTCACGCACACACACGCACGTATACAGACACACAGTACACACACACACACACACACACACACACACACAGATACACGGAAGGACACACAAGCACACACACACATGCCCACCCATGCGCTATGCCTGCCCCTCTAGGTGGCACGGCTGGTGGACAAGGAGGCAGGGAGTTTGTCCAGAGAGGGTCTTCCAGAACGACATCTACTCACTCCCCTAAAGCCCTGGGGCAGACAAACGGGTTATCAGAGTCCTCTCCCCCGGGGCGGCTGAGAAGCATAAACCGGGTAAAGGAAGGAGCAGGAGAGCCTTCCCCGACCCCTTACCAGGATCTGGACCCTTCCGGCCCAGCGAGGTGGGACCCTGGCCACACCACACCCACTTCCAGGGGTGATGACCTTCCAGACCGGCGTCACGCTGAGGAGCAGGTAGCCAGGCCTTCAAGTTCAAAGCCAGGGGTTGCTTTCCTTGCCTACCCCCAAAACACATACAGCCAGCTTTTGTTTCCTAGGTGATTACTTCAGGCAGTAACTGGGGCTGCGTGAACCTCATCACATGGAACCACCTAGCATTTTCTCTCAGAATGTTTTTCCTCCCTCTCTTTACTTCAGCTTTCTTCTCCCCAGTGCTCCACATCTAGGCTGAGGAGGAGGATAAGCCACTGAGTTGTGGGGAATTTGTTACGCAGCAAACAGGAACTAATACAGTACCCCTAGCATAGAGGGAACAGAACAGCCAAGTGGCCAGCTCAAGTCACACAGCACGTCACGGACGTCACGGGAAAATAATCCCTCATGTTGATGTCCCTTCTTTGCCTGGCCATCGTCCCACTCCCAGATCCCACCCCACGCTCACGAACCCCGTTTCTGGGCCCGCATGGGCTTCTTGCCCAGTCCCCCGTGAGGAGGCCCTTTGTCAAGGGAAGCAGCTCTTCCTTAGCTAAAGGGGACAGGTGGGATTATGCTATTCCAGTGGTTCACAGGTGAGCACTTTACAACGATGGAGACGGAGTATGAGTGAGGTGTGGGCTGGGCACCTTTTTCACAGAGCCGGCAGAGAGATGGTGAAGCAACCACAGGTTGAAGGCCATGTCTGTCCTGGGAGAGTCCCCCGCCCCTTAGCTTTCAGGGGAAAGCCGGGGCGTCCCCAGAGCACAACAGAGCTACAAAACCACCCTGGCTGAGGCACGTGAGAAGGGTGCAGTGCAGAGGGGTGGGCCTCCCCTGTGATGGACCCCCGTATCTCCAGGCCCTGCCCACTGCCATGCTGAGTTGTAAAACTAGATGTCTTGATTGGTGAAGGGTCCCAGGTTGCCTAGGAGCTCATGAGACCCGCCCCTCCCCCCCATATCAGCTTCCACCACTCACTTGAACTGAGGAATGTCCCTGCACAGCTCCACGTTAGGGCGCCGAGTCCGGCACTCCAGCCTCGTCTGCGCCACCTTCAGCGGGCACTCCTTGGCCATGATGGACCTTTCCAGCAGCAAGATGGTGTTCTCCGTCTGGAAGATCTCCTGCAGAGTCTGTGGGGAACGTGCCAGGTGTCACGGAGGGAGCGTGGGGGCAGCTAGTTCAGCCTTTGGTCAGGTCAGGTGTTAAAATGCCCCCTTCCCCAACCCTGAATACCCATGGGGCAGGGACCTCGCTCTTTCTAAGACAAGCTCGGGAGAGGGGCTTCAGCGCCTCTCGTCACCCGGGACACTGAACACGGAGGCGGGGCAGATGTCAAGGCTGGTTTTGTTTTCAGTCTCCAGTATCCACTGGAATTAGCCCATCGGTGTTCAGTGGGAAAGAGGCAAAGGGAGGGAGGCCTTTAAGATTAACACGGATAATCTGAAACGACAGCTAACTTCTAAATCTACTTTAATCTGAATTAATTTAGGTTGTATATCTTTTTATAAGCCAGAGTTTACCTTCCTAATAACTAGCTCAGTAAATAAACTAGAAAGAAGGGCGGGGGGCGGGGGAGGAAGGAAAGAGAAAGGAAAAAGGAAAGGGGGAGAGAGGAGAGATTCAACGCTTTCTATTTATCTATAGAAATATCTCCCCCAATATAATGCCGCCATTGTGCCCTATGATCGACGAAAGCACAGATCCCAGGGGACAGGAGGGAGCCAGCTGGGGACTTGGAACATCCTATATCTGGATCCAGGTGGAGGTTTTGCAGGTGTAAATGTAGGCCAAAAAAAAAATCATCATCAAAATTCATCAAGCTTTTTTGACACTTTATTGTAAGGCTGATACCTCAATAGAAAATTAAAAAATCAGGAAAAAAGTCAATCACAAGGGAAGACTAGCAAACTGTTGATATTCATGTCGGTACGTGAGGGGTCTTTTATATGAGTCTCTCTACTTCTATGTGTTTGAAATTTTCCACAATAAAAAATAAAAGAATGAGAGGACAAATAAAGAACAGGCAAGCCAGCACAGACCATTCCCAGAAGCAACCTAACCTTGCACTTAGCCAACTTGAGGCACACCCAGAACTGAGAGCACCAAACGGACACTAAACGCTATGGCTGAAACACCCTTCTCCTCCCACCATCGCCAGTGGCCCCAGATCTGTGAGCAGTTCTAGTGTTCATGCCCCTCTGCCACGAGAAGGCTCATCATGGGTGGGCCCTGCCAACACCCATCCCAGACTTGGCAGGGCCCAATGGTGAGGTTACATGTGCTCTGTTGCTGACAAGCCTGGAAGTGGCACCTGCCACGGTACCCCCAGCATCCTTCCTTCAGCTGTGTGCCTGTCTCCCTCCCTCACTAGCATGTAAGCTCCAAGTCAGGGGTTTCGTTTCGTCCACTCTGAATCCTCATCCAGGAACAGCGCTTGGTGCAGAGTGAAGATTGCCAGGTAAAACACAGGATGCCCAGTTAAGTGTGAAGTTCAGATCGACAACAAAGCATTTTTTAGTGTATGTCTCAACTACTGCGTGACATGAAATTTCTTGAGCTATAAAACATTCACAAATCACAACAGGTACTAAGATGACTACTTTAGCTGGGCTGGGCTCATATTCTATGGGCACCAAGAAATTGCTTAAAAGACGGTTCTTTCCCAAAGAATAAAAGTCCTGGCTTTCCTATTAGCTTAAGAGAAAAACCTAGAAACAGGGCATTTCACTACTTCAAGAGGACGAAAGGATGCTCATTTCCTACTGGGGTTTACATGTGATGGGAGAAGTGCTGCTCTGCCTCCTTCAAAGCCCACCAAGGAGGAAGGCTGGCCCCCTCACCCGGTCATCAATGAGCCACGCAGAACCAGAGCGATGCTGACCACACGATGGTTAAACATTACCCCATAAACATGTCTGTGCCCAGCATGTGAGCTGACATGTAAACACACCAGTGGGGGACACCTCTCTTAGAAACCTGACTTTTGGTGGTGGTGGGAGGGGGTGTGCTGCAGATATGCAAAGCTCAGAAAGCACCACCCGGCCTAGTACGGAAAATCAAGGCTTCTTGGCACCACATTGCCTGGTGTGGAAAATAGCCCCTTACTTTACCATCTGACGTCCCTACCTGGGGGAGGGGGTGGGCATGGCTGTGGCGGGAGGAGGGGAGCTGGAACCAACTGTTGCATATTTCTCCATGTTGCCACCCCCTGTGCCCCACTGGCATTTCTTAAGCAAGCCTGCCTGTGGATTTTCCAGAACCGTAGGGGTTTCCCAGAAATGGCTGCTCTAGAACCAATGGATGACTCACATCCAAGGTAAATCTACCCAGGTACAGGTGTATACACTGCCAAAAAAAGTCCCCGTAACCTCTTGCCCAGCCTCTGTCACTCACAGCCTGGGTCCTCCTCATTAGAAAGGAGAAACGCACACATATACACATACACTCACACCGTCCTGGGGGCAGCCTCTGCTGCCCACCCACGCCTTGCCAGCCTGGGCACCTCCAGAAGCCCTGGGTCCTGAGACTCGGCCTCCAGCAGTTTGCGGAATGCAGCTCCCAAGGGCTGGGAGGCAGAGACTGTGAGCTGAACAGGGTCAATGATTAGAGACAGAGCAGCCTTGATCTTCATGCTCAGGAGGAAGCTAAGAGTTTGCTTGATGCCAGCACAGCCTCCAAGTACCATCCCGGCCCGTTGAGCTCTGAGCTCCAGGTCAGCCTGGACCCTGGACTTCAAATTCCACGATGCGCCCTGGGAGAAGAGGCCCGAGTCTAAGCAGGTGACCCACATGTCCCAGCACACCCACTCCTGGGTATATCCTATAGGAAATCTTCACCCAGGGCCACAGGGGACCATCATTTTTAATTGACCAGTCAGTAGGTGCTCAGTGAATACTTACTCCCTGGACGGAGGGACACACACCGTGGGTGTCTGGTTAAGACAAGAGTACAGGTGTTGGCACGAGACTGCCTGGGTCTATCCACATCCCAGAGCCAGCATATCCAAGCTGGGTGACCTTAGGCAAGTGTCCTAAGCTCCCTGAGCCTTTCCAGCAAAACAGTAAAATGTGGCTCGTCATCATTCTCACTCCACACAGTGGAGACAAGTGATGAGCGTGCCTGGGATAAGATCCTGGAGACCTCCGTGGGTGCACAAATCCCTCTGCTGCAGGAACGCAGCTGGGAGTCACATGCAGATCAATGGTGCTGCGTCCAGCTCTTCACGAAGCGCGGGCGTGCGCGCGCGTGTGCGTGTGCGTGCGTGTGTGTGTGTATGGCGCGCGGGCGTGCGTGCGTGTGTGTGTGTGTGCGCGCGCGCACAAACACACCCAGGGAAGTGCCACAAGAAAGTCATATGCCCCTTTCCCCATGAGAAGTGCCACAAGAAAGTCATATGCCCCTTTCCCCACCTTCCCTTGGCCAGGTCGTGATACTTTCATCCTTCCTTCCTCTCTCCCTCCTCTCCTGCACCCCAGTCCCTGAGTCCTGATCCAGCTGCGGAGCCCCAGAAGCCACCCATCTCCCAGAGATGTTAACCTTTTTGTTCACACACAGCCGAAGAACTAGGGGTAAAGAGAATCCAGGGGCAGGGCTCAGGCTGGCTCACCCACGACTGGGCGGGGCCGCCGGGGGATTGGCCCAAGGGGTCACCCCATGGGAGGAGTCTCTGCAGCCTGGCGGAGCTGGAACTCAGGCAGGAAGGAGGTGGTGGGAGTGGAGGGCTCACCTCACTTGTCCCCCCCGCCCCCCGCCCCCTTAGCTCTGTGCTCAGCACGCTGCAGGCTGCCTGCCAGTCAAGGCCGCGAGCCTGGGGAGGGCGAGTGCTAAGCCTCCCACATGCCACGTAGGGGGGAGGGGGTGGGGGAGTGGAGGTGGGGGCAGTGGTATGGAGGGGCAGGTCACTTCAGCTCACTGAGCCCCTTTGTAGTCACACGGAGCAGGTTTAAATTCCAGCTCCTGTTCTTCCTCACTTTGCGACCTTGAACAGGGTCACTTAACCTCTCTGTGCCTCATGCAGTCATGTAACTCAGCGTCTACTGGGCCCCTCACTCCATAGCCCCTTCTGCCGAGCCAGGCACTGTGTGGGGCACGTGTTCTCTTGTCTGTAAAACCAGCGTAATAATAATAACTTGCCCACAGGGTTGCTCTGAGGATTAACAGAGATAATGTGTGTAAACTGCTTAGACCAGCGCCTGGCGTATGCCATGGGACTGCCCTGCATCCTATGCCAACTCTCATCCCACACTGTCAAATCTGTTAGGAGGTTTTTCCTTTGGGATCATTGGTCTTTTCTTTGTTTTTAATGTAAAACAATAGGAAACTCAGATTCATTTGATGGGATTTGTCTTTGCAGGCAACTGAAATTCCCTCAGACTTCCAGTCAAAGACCCTCCTACAGAACCTCCATCAACCCATTTATTTGGGAGTAAGGGGTCAAGGCAGGGGTCGCCTGTGCAAGGGAGGATGTCCTTTTTATGGTGAGCCCCTCCCCCAGTAACCAAAGTTCTTTTTGTTAACCAATCCCTCTCCTGGCGGGTTCCCAGCCCCAGGGGCTCCACGCAGGGTGCCTTAGAGGTAGAAGCCCGGGGCAGGAAGTCAGGAGACCAGGGTCCCTATCCAAGCGGTAACACAAACCAGCTGTTGAACTCGCAGCCCCTCTCAGAGCCCTAGGCTGTGCGGGGGCCCGAATTTCCTCATCCAGCAAATGGGGGCTCGAGGCCTGTGATTCCTCTGTGGCTAGGGTGCCAGAAGTGCGCCTGGACAGGGTAACCTGATCTATGCCTGACCCAGTCCATCACTGGTCTCCCACGCATGCCCAGAGTCCTGTCCTCCGAGACCCGCCCAAGGCCCTTTAGCTGCAGGTATGGCTGTGTGCATGCGTGCGTGTTTAAGTCTTCAAGTCGACCCCCTTCAGATGGCTGGAGTCCCAATACAAAGCCTTCCAAAGCATCTTGAAGATGTGCTACGCAGCGAATTTTTCTGTAAAGGTCTGGGTGGTAGGTATTTTGGCTTTATGAGCCATATCGTCTCACAACTACTCAACTTGGCCATTGTAATGCACAGACAATACATAATACATGGGGGTGTGTCTGTATTCCAATAAAACTTTATAAAAACAGGTGTGTGGGGG